CTCGCAAGTATGAGGCCAAAATTCAAACCCTAACACAGCCAAAACCAAACAAACAAATAAATAAAAACCAAATAAGACTGTGCTGTTACCACAAGTTCAAACTGTGATCAATTAGGGAAAACATGTACAATTCTAGACTGTGAATACTCCACACTAAATGTGATTCTGCTCAACTTGCCTGCACTGAAAGCACATCTGTTAAACAGATCCTGAACATAAGGTATTCTCCAGGTGGGAGGGGGAGACAGAGACACTTGACAAAGGACCAGAGAAAGTCAAACTTGGTCAATCAAGGTTCTCGGAGCACTAGGCAACAATGCTATTTTTATATGGGACCACAGCATCCTGGGAGTACTGCTGTCATTGGAGAGTGCTTACCTGAGATTGAAATCAATTACAGACAAAGTACCAAGAGATAGAGAGAGAACGGGTGCCTAGCTGTGATCATGACTGGATGGTGTCTTCTAAATGTCTGGATCCCACCTTTGAATGAATGTTTCCTGAGTCAATACATTGTTTTTATTTCAATTAGCCTATGCAAGTAAAAGAAGTAATATTTATTAAAATGAACTCCAGGAAATGGAAATAGAGCTTCCCCCCCCCCCCCCCCCCGCCCCCGTTGCTGTTTTTGTTCTGTTTGTTTATGTCTTTGGGAGGGTAAGAGGAGATACAGAAGTGGTGGGACAAAGGTGAACAAATATGGCGGTGGTCCTCACTCAACACGATGTAGAGAGTGAACTATAAAACTTGTGGGTTGAGACAGGCGGGCAAACTAGAGTGCGTACATGCATGTGAAAGGGGTAACACTGTTCAAAAAGAAATGTACTTTTTATCTGAGTTATATAACTGTAACCTCTCTGTACATCCCCTTTATAATAGCAATAAAAACTACATGAAAAAGGGGAAAAAAAAGAATATGAAAGGGACAGGCGAAGCCAAGGCTGAGAAGAAAAACACCCACAGGGAAGGAAAAGTATGCACTGCAGTAGCAGAAAATAACAGCACTGTCCTTACAGTCTAGATCTAGAAGAAGTGAGGATGCCCTTCTTCAGGAAGAAACAGTAATATCTATGCAAATAGCAAAAAGATTAGAAAGTTAACCTATTAATATCATTAATATTAATCTGCATGGCTTATCACACTGCTGCTAACATGCAATACATTCTTCAGGATGATGTGAAATGTGAGGGGTGAGAATTCGGTTGTACTACTAGAAGAGACATCCTATTATGAAATAACGTTCTACAGGTATTCTTTGATCCATTATACTTAGAGCTTTCTTTCTTTCTTTTTTCTTGTGCCAGTTCTGGGGTTTCATTTGGCTTTTTCCACTGAAGGCTGGCATTTTATCACTTGTGCCACACTCTTGGATTTTTGTTGTTGTTGTTGGGCTAGCTTTAAACCTCAATCCTCAGATCTCTAGCCTTCTGAATAGCTAGGATTACAAGCATGAGCCACGTCTGGCTTTTATAGCTTCTTAAGTTTAATGCAATACATCATTTATCTGCCAAATAATTATCAGGACATGGAAGAAGAAATACGTGTAAATCCTGCCGATCATATGGGAGTGCTGGACAAGAGGCCAGCATTTCCTTCAAGCGCTCTGAGTCAGAAATGCCGTAGCTGCAGTCCTCATTTAGTCTACTTTTCAAAAGAAGAATAAAGAGGTGTCCCTTATTCCCACTGTCGAGTCACAGTGACACGCAGCAATCAAAGTAACCCATTAACGGACAGTCCCTTGTTTTGTTCAGATATCAACACCAATGTGTATCTTCCCCGAGGAGCCCAGCCTGAGTGAGCGAGGTTGGCTCCTAGCAGGGTAAGCCCAGTCGGCCGGATGCTTTGTTTTAGCAAAGGCATCAGAAATAGTGATGCCAGTTCACTTGGGTTTCGCACTGATCATCAAAAAGCTGACAGTCCTTTAAATCAGTCACTGGGCGGAATAATCACCCTGAAAGGAACTGAGAGGGTAGGACTTAGATTACAAAATGGAAGTGAACATGAGACAGTGTTAACGGGCGTGGTAGAAGAGATTGTTTGTCAGAATTGCAGAGATTGATTAAAGACACGAATTAGACATCATCTCTATTGGGTACTCTTACTGACATGGACACAACAGCTAAATTGCACAATTACAGAGTTAAACATAACTCAGAGAGCAGTTTTTTTCCTTTTGAAAACAGCTGATGCCAAGTGAGCCTGTCTGACTCACTCGGCGACTTGCAATGAAGGTTATGAACAATCTTGTCTTGGGGGCCTCTGAGAATGGACAGAATAGAGATCTGGAATGTTGTGCCATTTGAAATGAGACCATATCATTAAATATTAGACCCTAAGGGCCTGCCAAATGAGAGTACATCCTTTAAACATCACCAACAACCTTCCCCGCCACTGCATTTTCAGGAACTAAAACATCCGGTTTCTTTTAGAGTTGTTCATTTGCAACTCTCAGAGAAAATAAGCTCGTTCTGACTTTTTTGTTTGGAGAGAGGAGGAGCAAAGTGAATCTAGGAGAGAAAAAGGCCAATTTCAACTATTGCTTGTGATACAATGCCTGCTACTGTGGGATTATAAAGTTGAAAAGGCCTTTCAAAGATACTTCTCCTCATGTGGACTCTGCTCAAACGTAATACTATATCCAAACTATCCATAAGCATGTGTAACTCCATCATCAAATAAAACTAATATTTTAGGTGAAAATGTGTCAGTCTATAGAGGTCACACTTATTACTCTAGCTACTTGGAGGGAGGAGAAGGGAGGACTGTGGCTGGAGTTGAGTGCAGGCATGGTGCTGCACACCTGTAGTCCCAGATATGAGGAAGGCAGAAGGTTTGTGGTCTGAGGCTGGCCTGGGCAAAAATAGGAGACCCTATCTGAATAAGTAACGTGAAAGAGCTGGAGTCATAGCTTCACTGGCAGAATGCTTGTTTGAAAATACAAGACCCTGACTGGGTTCTGCAAAATCCTAGTACTGAAAAAAAAAAATCAAACCAGCATAAGTAGGAAGTGGTATTTTAGATCTAAAGCGGATGATACAAGTTCACACAGAAGGCTGCTTCCTCTGTCTTATCTCCCCACCTTGCTGTGGCACTTGGGATGGGGACATAACCAACATAAAACCTCTACAAGCAGTGAGTATTCAAGGTACCTCTTTTTTTTTTTTGGGTCCGGTCGTGGGCCTGAACTCTGGGCCTGGGCACTGTCCCTCAGCTCTTCAGCTCAAGGCTAGCGCTCTACCACTTGAGCCACAGCGCCACTTCTGGCTTTTTTTCTTTTTTGCTTATGTGGTGCTGAGGAATCAAACCCAGGGCCTCTGGCATGCAAGGCAAGCACGCTACCACTGAGCCACCTTCCCAGACCCTTCAAGGTACCACTTACAGTGTGGCTATGGAGTATATATTTTTTGGGGAAAATTTTCTCCATGATTTTTGTTCACTTGTCTTACATCCCTGGAATCATCGCGAAACAATTTCTCAAAGGACAGCGACGTAACTCACTCTGAAGTTCCTAGTGCAGATCACATGGCATTTCCTTCTTAAAGCTCACCTGCCAAGTGATGCTTACATCACATTCTGGTCTGGCTCTGCCGCTCTCCTCTTCAGGCTCATCATTTGCTTCTTGCTGTCCTGTTTCAATCTCTTACTCACACATCTACATGTGCCTTTTCTTCTCTTCCTGGTCTTTATTCTATCTGCATCATATATATATGTATGTGTGTGTGTACACTCAAGTAACATTTCTAAATAGTTTATATTTATTAATGTATATATGTCCTAAAGTTTTTCCTGGTCTTTATTCTATCTGTTTCATATATATGTATATGTATATATATGTATATGCATAATATGCATATGTGTATATACATACACACACTTGAAGTAACATTTCTTTTTTTGAAGTAACAGTTCTAAATAGAATCTTTTATATTTATTAATGTATATGTGTCATAAAGTTTTCAAATTAGTTTTCTCTGAGTCATTGATGAAAAAAGAGGTTTCCTATTCTTATTCATATCCTATTCCTTACTGCCCTGGAATCTATACTTGTTATCTCTCCACCACCTCTTCCTAGAATCACTGGTGTTCTCTTTGTCTCCAGTTTCTAACACTTCTGGAGCCAGTTCTGTTTTTCTCTTTTCAGACACTTTTGATTAGCATTATATCAAGCTAATGTGAGAACGTAGCTGTGTGCAGAGGCCTGAGCTCTGCGATGGTTTCTGCCCTGGGCAAGCTGTAAGGAGGGCGAAAGGTATTGCTTTCTGTTCTTGAGACACACTGGTTGGTCTTACAGGATTTTATGGTGTACAGAATAACATTAAGCCATGTTAAGAAGAGTCCTTCCTCATGTCCCACAGTCCACACAGGGAAAGGAGGTCAACTCCTCTTAAGGAACAGGGTAGATGCAACATAAACCACATTCTAACCCGGCCCTTCTGACAACATGGTTGTGCCCATGCAGTGAAAGGTATACACACACACATTTTTAATCCCTCGGTGCACAGTTGCACAGTTTTCTATTCCATTTTTGAGAATAAATATGTGTAATTTCATCATTAAATACAAACATTTTTGTTGTCAGCTTCAGTGGAACCAGAGCTTGAGCTCAGGGCCTTATGCTCTTGCTTGGCTCTTTTTTCCTCAAGTCTGGCACTCTATCACTTAACAAACACCTTTATTTCTGGCTTTTTACTTGTTAATTGGAGATCAGAGCTTCACACTCTACCTGGATGGGCTTTGGACTTTGATTTTCAGATCTTAGTCTCCTAAGTAGCTAGGACTTACAGGTGTGAGCGACTACTACCTGGCAAAAATCATATTTTAAATAAAAGGTCTAAGAAGACAGTGGCCAGTTCTGGTGGCTCATACTTGTAATTCCAGTTACTGGGAAGGGGCAGATGGGGGAATTGTGTTTGGAGACCAGCCTAGGCAAAAGTTCTACAGATTCTGCTTTAGCCACTCTCTTTTCAATCATCCTCACAATAGAAAATTCCAATACTTACTCTGAGATGTAGAAAGATTGGAGAAAGCTGACTTGGTTCGGCCTGCCAACCATTCCAGGCTTTCATGCATGTTGGCCAAGGCTTTAAGGTCACTGACATCACGGAGAATGTCTTGTGGGGGGATAAGTTTATCACCCAGGTTCCCAATTAGAACTTCAGACTCTTTGCCAAAGGCTGCCCTGAAAAAAACAAACAAACAAAAAACCAAATCAGAAACACACTTCCCTTACAGCATGGCAAAGGAAGGGATGGACAATGCTTCTTAAGGCACAGACAGCACAATGACCATTATAATCTCTACTTCACAGCATGCTCTCTCTCCAAGGTCTAACTTTGGGAGGAAACCATTGCATGCTTGCTTAAAATTATTCTAGCAGGAGAAAGAGTTCTTAGAACAAATGAAATGACCTCAGTGGCTATATCTCCTGCAGGAGCAGCATGGGCCTGAATTACAGTGACAGCCCCTAGGATGGCTTCTAGCTCTCTTGTGTAAGAGAGGTTATTTCTTTGTTGCTTCTCCAGCTGTGGAATCTGATGTACAGCTTAGGATGCCAAATATATACCTGCTTTTCAGCCTAAAAATAGAACAACCAAGCTCATCTGGGAGCTACAAAATATTTTGTAAATGTTTAAAGGCTAATTGGAGCCGGTCTCTTTGAGAGAACAGATTACAATTGAGGATGACTACTAGTTCATTCATTTATTTATGCGAAAGAGGATGTGAGCCAAAGAAATGATAAACGTTAAGGTATTTTTGGAAAGAAAAATAAGCAAACAAATAAACAGTGTTGGAGTTCTTTTACTAACAGGAATCATAGAAAGAGGTAGGTTTCACAAAAAGTCCAGTCTTCAAAGACATTTTGAACCTAGTCACTGAGGTGAAGTGCAGAACACAAAGCCTGGAATTTGCTAAATGCTCCTTAAGTTGAGGTTATCAGTATTTTGAGGTTTGTTGGGATGCTGAATAAAGTTAGTTACAAGGGAGCAAACACTAGGAAAAAGGACTCTGATGTTGTTGGGGGTCAGTGTGCCCAACTTATAAACAAAATGAGACACCATAAAGACTCTGGTAGATTTCCCTGCCTCTCTTACTGGTGTGATGGCCAGGTGCATATTAACTATGTCAGATGAGCTTACAAGAAAGCTGTCTCCACAGTGTTCTTTGCTGGCAGGAACTTGCCTGGCCTCCCTCCTTTCTGGAATTGGAATGCAGCCATGGCAACTGGGCTGCAGTAGCTCTTCTGAAACATCAAGTGACCTTGAGAGTGAAGTCAGTGCTGAGAATAATGGAGCCAGGCCATAAGAGGGCACCAGACACTGATGACATCATGGGGCTCCGGTGCGGTCCCAGACAATGCGCTTCCAGGCAGCGTGTCATCAGAGAGACAATGAACTCCTCTTTGCCACTGATATTTCCAGTTTCTGTGACTAGCTGCTAAATGCAATTACAAACTGACACACTCCTCTAATTAGCATAAGTGATCTCATCCTCTAAAAACTTGGTCAGAAATTAGATGCTACTGAAAATCTAGTTACTGGGAAAAGCAAAAACTATGTCTCCATCATGAGCTGAGTCCACAAGACATGGATGGGTAATATCTTTCCCTAGGCTATCACTCAAGTTGTAAATATTTATCTTCTTAATCTGCCCTTATAAATAAACTCTTCCAGCCCCTTAATTATTTTTGATAGCTATAACACTCTCTCTCTCTCTCTCTCAATGCCTCTGAGCTAGTGGTTAAAAAGCAATGAGGGAGGCAGAAGGCTTTGAAAGCCAGGCTTAGAGACATCTTTATGCATGTAGGTATAACCCTGGTAAAATGTGACCATGAAGACAAGTGCATGTACTTAGAAGTGAGATCCCAAGGCAGGGATCCATGGGCCCTCGGCATGTCTGTGCTATGTGGCTATGTGCTGGGTGCGGCTATGTCTGTGCTGCCTGATGAGCTCACTTCCCTGTGGCTCACTGAGATTTGTTTCACCTCCTCAGATGTGCGAGCAACAGACTGAGAAAAATACAAACTGCCTCATGTTGAATACATAGTAGACATCTCATTTGACAGGAATCTATAATCTCCCCTTAACAACCTGGAAAGAGCACAGAAATCTTGACATGGGGAATAACTGATTGACACCATAACCACTACACACAAAAAACTTATTCCTTGGAGGATTTGTATGTGTGAAAAAGCTTGGTGGAAGATTTTTATGCGTTTCAATAACCTTAGAGGGATGGGCTTAGTTGTCTGACTAGCTGATTTTTTTTCTTAAACCTTCTGATTTATGAAATTATAGCATATCCAGGCTATGAAAAACTATGGAGTCAATACAAATTATATAGCAGAGAATACTTGGTATCTATAGAAAAATATTTAATACAGCTTATTATATTGTATTACTAATAATTATATATAAATTGATTAAAAATGGCTATCTATATCCTCAAAATGTTAACCATAAAACTAGACCATACATTGTGCTTTTTGTATTTTCTACATTTTTTTCAAAAACAGGTTTACTTTTTTTTTTTTGGTAGTATTAGGGCTTTAACTTAAGACCTCAAGTTTTTTTTTTTTAATTTTTATTCTTTCTTTTTTTTTTTTGTTTTTTGTCCGTCGTGGGCCTGAACTCTGGGCCTGGGCACTGTCCCTCAACTCTTCAGCTCAAGGCTAGTGCTCTACCACTTGAGCCACAGCACCACTTCTGGCCTTTTCTGCTTATGTGGTGCTGAGGAATCGAACCCAGGGCCTCATGCATGCAAGGCAATCGCTTTACCACTGAGCCACCTTCCCAGCCCAAGACCTCAAGTTTTTTAAGCAAGCGTTCTACATTTGAACAACTTAGCCAGTCTCTCTCTCTCTCTCTTTTTTGTCAGTCGTGGGGCCTGAACTCTGGGCCTGGGCACTGTCCTCAGCTCTTCAGCTCAAGACTAGCGCGCTACCACTTGAGCCATAGCACCACTTCCGGCTTTTTTCCCCCTATTTATGTGGTGCTGAGGAATCGAACCCAGGGCCTCATGCATGCAAGGCAAGTGCTCTACCACTGAGCCACTTTCCCAGCCCAGCCAGTCTCTTTTTTGTGTTCATCATTTTCAATATAGAGTCTCATTTTATGTGCAAGTGATTGGACTGCAATCTTCTTATTTATGCTTCCCTTGGTTGAGGAGATTACAGGTACCACATGCCCAGCATTGAGTATGATGGAGTTGCAGGAACTCAGTGTACAACTACCAGATCTCCCATTTCTAACTAAGCAGGATGACAAACTTGAGCCAATGTGTGTGGTAATATTTACTTTTTAGTAAACGGAAGTACTGTCAGCACAGCAGACAAGAGTACATGGGTATAACTGATACTGGAGTTCAGTTGGGAATTGAGGACACTGGATGACAATGGATCTGAATTGTGGCTCTAGGTTTGCTAAAGATGCAATGGATATCCAGAAAGACAATCATCTGCATTTGAACCAGAATTATTCCCCCATTTTTACATAATTTTAATCTTTTTATTATAACAGTATTTAATGAAGAAGTTGCGTATGTCTTTAGAACTTACATAACACATCGGGAACAGCAAACTTAAGGTGTGGGGTAGTGAACCCCACATGGACACCCCCCTTCATAATTGTGGCCTAATAAGCTCACAGGAAGCCTATAAAACTGAATACCCGTAAGCCTCTTAATCTTCATTTTTAACCACACACTTTTTGTTCATCTTTAAAGGACTTGATCTGACAAGAATTCATTTAAGAAAATTTTGCCAAGAGTGTTAAATCTGTTTAACTTAATTTTACCACACAATTATAATCTATAAAGAAGTCTGACACGAATTCATTTAAGGGAATTTTGCCAAGAGTGTTAAACCTGTTTAAGTGAATTTTACCACACAATTATAATCTATAAAGTCTATCTGACAAGAATTCATTTCAGAGAGTTTTGCCAAAGATGCACAAAATTGTCTCCATTTAGTCTTTAAATAATTCTGTTAGCCACTGAAAGGGAAGAAAAATCTGCAATTTCAGCAGACTAAATGAAATTATGAAAGAACTATAAATGGTCTCAGCAGTGATTGATTTGCAGATTTGTGCTATATCTGCTACATGACAAACACGCTTGGGCCCATCCCTCTCTCTCCTTGTCCCCCTATCCATCTCTCTTAACACTGCTTCCCACTGCAGGGCCCAGCTCCGAGACAGTGGCTGCAGGAGCCTGGACATGCTGCCGAAAGGGTGAGTTCCCAGTGACACAGAACAGAGTCAGGAAGGGCAAGAACCTGCTCGCGTGGCAAAGCAGATGGTCAGAGTCCTCCTAGTGTGCAGCAGGCAGACTACTCACCCAGAACAGACGCTCAGGGCATGAAAGGACATGGAAAACCCCTTGCCTGGAAGGCTCTGTCAGTAGATCTATGAAAAGTCCTATTCACACTCATGGCAACCCACCCCACAATGCTTTTGATACTTATTTTATGGCAAAACAAGTGAGGCGAGACCCCAACGTCTTCAAAATCGACTTGGTCCTTGTGGAGCTGGCTTGCCAGGGGTCAAGTGGACTAGACAGACTTCAGCAAGGACACCAGTTGGAGATGACTTATCAGGCTACCATGCTAGAATGCTTAGACTCAGGGACCAATATATAGTGTTATTTGTGTTTGTGTGTGTGTGTGTGTATGCCCCTAATAACAAAAAAAAAAAGTGTCTGGTAAGTTAGGATTAAAAGTTGGAACAGCCCCCTCTCTCATTAGTCATAGTATTCTTTTTGCTTTTTCTCCTGTAGCTTTAGGCTAAACAAGCTAAACTGGTATCCAGGAATCCTTCCTCTGGGAAATAACGACAATGGAATTGGAAAAAGTTGTCATCTGGCTGTTTTTTGCTTCTCACACTACTGAAATAACAAGCAGAAAAACTGGTTACTTAGAGTGGTTACCTAGAGTGAATGATGTGATTTGCCAAGGGAAAAAGTAAGCTGCTTTTGTGTAATAGAGGCCCACAGGCCTATGTGGGATTCATTGGGACCCTTCTTAGTACTTCAGTGTCTATAGAAAAAGTTAAGTAAATACCATGGCAGCTCAGCAGAGGCAGTTCCACTAAGAATTCATTGTCTTTAAGATACAAGGCTAGGCTGGGTGTGGTAATTTGTAATCCCAGCTACTCAGGAGGTAGAGATTTGGAAGAGGATCACACT